GACAGCCAGGCCATGGCGATGGGGCAGCCCCAGTTCTTCGAGTCGAGGCTGCTGGCCCCGCTGCCCAAGCTGAAGCACCTCAGGTGGGGGCGGGGAGGGCGGGCTGGCGCGCGTGTGTGTGTGTGCACGGTGGCGGGTGGCGGGCGGGTGCGTGTGTGCGGCACGGGGGGGCTGCCATTGCCCACGTGCCTGCATGCTGCCGCACCGGCCCAGCGTGCACGCTGCCAGCCGCACGCCTGGCACCCCCACCGGCGTCACGCCTCCGCCCCCTGCCCGCTCCTCCCCGTCCCCGCCCTCCCTCGCCCGCCGCTCGCAGCCTGATGCAGTTTGGCGGCGCTGACCTGTCGCGTCTGCCGCGCACGCTGCGCACGCTGCATGCTGACCTGGATGCCGTGCTGCCGCTGGCGCTGCCCCTGGGCCTGCGCCTGGAGGAGCTCAGCATCACCACTGGCCACCTGCTGGTGGACTGGGGCCAGCTGTGCAGCCAGGTGGAGCGGCTGGTGGTGATCGAGGCAACCTACATGGACCTGCTGGCGCCGCCCGGCGGCGGCCCCGCCGCGGACGGCGACCCCGCCGCCGCCCCGCCCTCGCTCTGCCGCCACGCGGCCGACGGCTTCATGTGAGGCGGCAAGCGCGGGCGCCCCAGCCTGCGGCACCTGCGCCGCGCTCGCCCTCCCATTTTACCTGCTTCCCCCATCTGTCTCGCGCCGCGCCGGCCTGCCGTCCTTGCACACAGCTTTCCCATAGGCTCCCACTGCCCCCCGACTGCCCCCCCACTGCCCCCCCCACTGCCCCCTCCCATCCATGCCTGCCTCCCCCGCAGGCGCGGGCGGGTGCTGGAGATGGAGCTGGTGGGGCAGGAGGTGAACCTGGTGCGGGTGGGTGGCGGCGCCCCGCCCCGCGCCGCCATCCCCGAGGAGGTCTACGACCCGCAGGTGCTCGAGTCCATGCACCTGGTCAGCATGGCGGCAGACTTCCAGACCCACGACTACCGCCACTTTGGCTGCATCTACAACCCAGATGACCTGCGTGAGCGGCGGGCGGTGTTGTGGGGCTGCGGGGCCGGCGGCGCCCGCCCCGTGCGCTGCGCTCCGCTTGACGCGGGCAGCCCGCATGCGCCAGCAGCCAGCAGACCTGTTTAGGCTGGGCGGCTGTG